TTATGACTATGTGATGGCTCAGTACCTGAGGAAGGATGCAATTACATGTATATTCATACACACACATATATATATATATTATACACACATACATAAAACATACATTCATATATATATATCACACAAGCAGTTGTTTGGTTTAAAAAAACAATGAATTAAAATATTAAAGATGGCTGGACAGATAGCTCAGAGGTTAAGAGCACTGACTGTTCTTCCAGAGGTCCTGAGTTCAATTCCCAGCAACCACATGGTGGTTCACAACCACCTTGAGTGAGATCTGATGCCCTCTGCCTGCATACAGGCCGAAGACTGTATACATAATAAATAAAATCTTTAATAATAATAATAATAATAAAGATGAATCATAGTAGTAAAAATGACATCCTGTGGGAAGAAGAGGGGACTACTGTGGACATAATGAGATTAAAGGAAACGTCTACGAATGACCTCATTATACAGTTTGGAAATGTTATATAAGATTTCAAAAACAAATTAAACTAAAAGAAAAATTCCTAGAAATTAGCAAACATGTAGCAAACATGCCTTCCAGAGTGGAGAGACACGCACAGCAGGCTGAGAGCACCGTGCTCTGCTGTATCTTCCTGCAAGGACACAACCTGAGGCCAACACAAATTTCCACCTGAGTCCCAGGTTAGTAGTGAGACTCAGACACTGTAGGTGTGAGGAATAAAGTAACATAAAACACAGTGGCCATCTTTCCCGAAGCTGCTGGTACTGAGACCGCTAACAGCTCCCCTCATACCCACGGCTTGCACGACTGCACTCTGTCTAACCAGTCAAGCAATTCAGCTTACCCTGGACACTTCTTTTCTGGAAGTCTGGAATTTGGGTGTAGTGCAGGTAGCCAGTGCTTCTGTGATCGGTTATGTGACTCCAATAAAAATCCTTGTGGGCCAGGGCTATAGCTCATGGCTAGAATGCTTGCTTCTCAGTATGGGATGCCCTAAATCCAATGCCCAATACAGAAAAGAAAACTGCTAGCTTATGGCTGTGTTTATAGACTGGGATTGCTGCTGATCTGGTAGAGTGCTTGCCTAGCATATATGAGGCCCTGGGTTTAGTTCTAAACACCCCATAAGCCAGCTGTGGGGGTGCATATCTGAAATCCCATTATTAGGAATACAGAAGCAGAAAGAGCAGGAATGTAAGGCCAACCTCTGCTACACGAGACTGTCTCAAACAAAAACAACACCCCCCCCCCACACACACACACACTGGACACAGTCTCTTAGGAGTTCCTGGCTGGACAATGCTTCATGATCGACCAGCTCCTTGATACTGGAGTTGGACATATCTGTGTGGTTCTAGTGAGGGCTTTTTTGGACTTAGGTCAGTTTCCCTCCAGCTTTATCCCACGCCTTTTCTATAGCCTTCAGTGTGGTCACCACAGTTGAGAGGCCTCCTAGTTAATCACTGAACCTAAGTTGGCCTTGGTGACCTCCAACATAGCAGGACAGAACAAATTAATCTTTCTAGGAAATAGGTCTGCCAGTATAATCCAAAGATAGACATTTAGGACTGGCAAGATGGCTCAGTGGGTAGAGGCACTTGCAGCCGAGCTTGAAAACCTAAATTCAATCCCAGGGACCCTCGTGGAGGAAAAACCCAACTCCTGAGGTTGTTCTCTGACCTCCAAACACACATTGGCACATGCACACTTACATACACACACACAAAATAATAAATTGCAAAAAAAAATGTTTTAAGATACAATTTTAAACCTCACAAGTAAAAACACCAGTCTTCGGTTTGAATTCTAAACACCAGTATGAATTCCAAAGTTTTTCCATTGAGATTGGGTCTTACCTTGTAGTCCAAAGAGGCCTACAATTTACTAGAGTCTAGACCGCCCTCAAAGTTACAGCAACCCTCTCGATTTGGCTTCCTGAGTGCTGTAATTGCAGGTGTGAGCTATTACACCCGGTGCAACTTCTTTCCTAAAAAACTCAGTGAGTCTGGGTGTGCTGGCACAATTTGTTATTATAGCGCTTGGGGGAGCTGAGGTGGGAGAAGAGTGGGTTCAAGGACAGACTGGGCTTAAAAGCAAGCCCCTGTTTCAAGTAACAAAACAAAGAGACAAAAACCAGGTCAGTGGCATGGCTCATAGCGGAAAGGCTATCTGCTACCAAGAGTAACAAACTGAGTTCTGTCCCTAGAACCTACATAGTGGGAGAACCAATTCCCAAAAGTTGTCCTTTGACCTCCACACAAGTTCTCCCCCACACACTCACCCAACAAACAAACAAACAAACAAACAAACAAATGTAATTTAGAAATGAAAACTGAGGGATGGAGAGATGGCTCAGTAGAGTGCTCGTTTGCTACTGCAGAGGACCTGGGTTCAATTCCCAGGACGGTCCATTGTGAGCTACCAGGGGATCCAACAGGCATGCACATGTTCATTTAAACATATGCAGGCAAGATATTCATACATATAAACCAAAATAATTTTTTTTTCCGAGATAGGGTTTCTCTTTATTGCTTTGGAGGTTGTCCTGGAACTCACTTTGTAGAACAGGCTGGCCTCGAACTCACAGAAATCTGCCTGCCTCTGCCTCCGGAGTGCTGGGATTAAAGGCGTTCGCCACCAACACCTGGCTAAAACCAAAAAAAATTTAAAAATAAATCTAGTTAAAACATCAAATAGAGGGCTGGTGTCTTAAGAATTTTTATTGCTGCTGGGAAGTTGTGGCCCAAGCCTTTAATCCCAGCACTCAGGAGGCAGAGGCAGGGGGGTCTCTGTGAGTACGAGGCCAGCCCGGTCTCCCGAGCAAGTGCCAGGAAAGGCTCCAAAGCTACACAGAGAAACCCTGTCTCGAAAAATAAAACAAAACAAAACAAAACAAAACAAAACAAAAGAGTTTTTATTGCTGTGAAGAGACACCATGACCACAGCAACTCTTATAGGAAAACATTTTATTAGGAGGGGCTCATTTACAGTTTTGGAGGTCCAGTCTATTATCACTACAGTGGGAAGCATGGCAGCACACAGGCAGCCATGGTGCTGGAGGAACTGAGCGTCACATTGAGGGAAGTTTGAGCAAAGGAGACTTCAAAGCCCACCCCCACAATGACACACTTCCTCCAACAAGGGCACGCCTCCTAAGAGTGCCACTCCCAGCCAGGCATTGGTGGCACATGCCTTTAATCCCAGCACTCGGGAGGCAGAGGCAGGCGGATCTCTGAGTTCAAGGCCAGCCTGGTCTACAAGAGCTAGTTCCAGGACAGCCTCCAGAGCCACAGAGGAACCCTGTCTCGAAAAAAAAGAGTGCCACTCCCTTTGGGGGCCATGCACTTTCAAACCTTCACAGCTGGTGAGATGGCTCAGTGGTTAAGAGTATTCAGTGTTCTCCCAAGAGGACCTGGGTTCAGTTCCCAGCATCCATATCAGGCAGCTCACTGAACGGAAGCTGGCAATGCAGGAGGAATAATGAATCTCAGCGGTGACCAGCAGTGGATGCTGTAGCCACTTAGGACAAAGAGTTCAGGCTCAGGTAAGACCATCTGAACTTATGAGGATCTCTCCAGACACCATGATCCTGCTGACACCAACTACAACTGTAAAAACAGCAAGTCCAGAGCACCAGTTGTGTTAGGTATACCAAATAAATGAATGAATGTCCTTAAGTGCCTATACAGAACTTCCTGTGAGAACAGCGGTCACACGGAGAAGCAATCAGCCAAATCCTGGAATGTGTAGATCACAGATGATAAAAACTTGCTTTCTCCAACAAATCAATGTCAGAAGAAAACAGGGGCGTTGTATGAGAGTGGGTGGAAGAAGGATGTTGCAGAATAAAGACATTCATAGAGTCAGAGTCAACCCCAAAGCCAATGTGATCATGCTACCATCTGTCTTCAAACCCTCTGCCCACACCTCTGCTGCACCTCTCACGGAGTCCCCTCAGTTCTAGCCACAGCCATCTCCTGGGTTCCCTGGACTAGCCCAGAGTTTCAGTACTCAGGCTCCTGGAAGGCACTTCCCCTGCCCTGGAATGCTATCCTCCCACGGTCCCCACTTCACTGGGTAGAAGCCTGCTTGCTCATTCTGTCTCAGAGCATCAGGGAAAGCCCAGCCCTAGCCCAGGGTATGATTGGATCCCTCCTCCTAGTTATTCACTCATATTGTAACCTTATGCTTGTCATGGAAGCAAAAAAAAAAAAAAAAAGTATTTTTTCCGAGACAGGGTGTCTTAGTGTAGCCTTGTCTGTCTTGGAACTCAGTCTGTAGGGGCTGGCCTCAAACTCAGAGATCCACCTGCTTCTGCGTCCCAAGTGCTGAGATTAAAGGTGTGTACCACCACCACCAGGTTCATGAAAGCAAATTTATTGCTTTTCTTTCCCAACTTTGGGAGACAGGACCTTACTAGACAGTCCAGGCTGGCCTTGAACTCACAATATTCTTGCCTTGGTCTCCTAAGTGCTGGGACTACAGGCATGCATCAATAGGAATTGCTTTATATCTGCATTCCCTCCCAAAGATAAGAAGCTCCTTGAAGGCAGAGGCCACTTTTTTTTTTTTTTTTTTTTTTTTTAATAGCAGTCTGACATGCAGCAGGACTATTAGCAGTAGCTAATAGTCTTAATAGAAGTCAAGGTTGATGGCTCACACAGTCCCAGGAGGCTGAGGCAGGGAGGCTGCCTCAAACCTAAAGCCAGCTAGACCCCATCTTAAAATAAAAAAAAAAAAAAGTTTAATAGAAACCTAGCATTCAGGACTCATGGAGATATTGAGTTTCGGGCCAGCCCTAGGTTATACAATAAGACCCTGCCTCAAAAAAAAAATTAATTAATATAAAAAAGACCTGAACAAATGAAGGGCTAATCACCTGGTTCCATCCATCAGGTAGGAATACAGAGACCATACTAACTTGATTAGGACCAGCACAGTCCCTGCTGATCTTGGATGTGGTGATGTCTGCTGGCATAAGAACCTAGCCTGCCACTCAGGAAGCTGATACCCCCAGGGAAGGACTCACCGCCTCATGGGACTTGGGAATGGGTACGATGATGGCCAAGACACAGATGAGCTGGAAGATGGCTCCCAGGAAGAGCCCATACCGCAGCAGGTTCTCCAGGAAGGTGGGCTCAGGTACCTCAGGAGGTGAGAAGTCTAGGTCGGAGGCCATGGTCCAAGTCACCACTGCCAGGGGCCTCTTAAGAGTCACCCTTCTCCAGAACCAAATTCTAAATGAAAAGAATGAATGTCAGTGTCTTAGTTAGGGTTTCTATTGCTGCGAGGAGACACCATGACCACAGCACCTCTTATAACAGAAAACATTTAACCGGGGCTGGCTTATAGTTCAGGGGTTTAGTCCATTATTGTCATAGTGGGAAACAAGGCAGCATGCCGGCAGACATGGTGCTGGAGAAGGAGCTGAGAGTTCTGACAACTTGACTCACGGGCCACAGGAAGTCGTCTGAGACACTGGGCAGTATCTTCAGCATATACGGGACCTCAAATCCCACCTACGCAGTGAAACACTCCTTCCAACAGGGCCACACCTACTCCAACAAAGCCACACATCCTAATAGTGCCACTCCCTTTGGGGGCCATTTTCTTTCAAACCACCACATCAGGCTTCTTTCTTTTTGGGGGAGGGGGTGTTGAGGTAGGGTTTTTCTGTGTAACAGCTCTGACTGTCCTGGAACTCACTTTGTAGTACACCAGCCTGGCCTCAAAATCACAGAGATCCATCTGCCTCTGCCTCTGCCTCTGCCTCTGTCTCCTGAGTGCTGGGATTAAAGGTGTTTGCCACCACTACCTGTCTGAATGTCAGGTTTCTACATGTGATCTTTAAATGACCCCACCCACACACCACACATATATGAACACTCGAACACACACAAAACATGAAGCAACTTCTGCAAAGTGTAAACAATTCTTTAGAGGGCATATGCACAGGGAACCATCCTTTCAACTTTTAAAATTTTTAATGTTTTCTAAATATAAAGCTAATGAAATTGATAAACAAATGCAAAAATCCTCAAGCAATGCATTTACTAAATTTTGTTTCCTTTTGCTTTTGAGATTTCACTCATCTTGGGCTGGCCTGGAGCTTGTTATTAATCCAGGATGAGCATGAACTTCTGATTCTCCTGCCTCCACCTTCCAAGTGCTGGAGTTACAGGCTTGCATCCTTATACCCAAATTTACATAGTGCTGGGGCTGGGACCCAGGACCCCATGAATACTGAACAAGCACTCTACCAACTGAGATACACATATCTGATTTTGTTTGTTTATTCATTCACCTAATCAAAAAGCACTTACGGATACCAAAGACTGAAGAAAGAAATACAGACAAATGCCTGTTTTCAGAGCTCTGCTCCAAATGGAGGCAGACAGTGAACCATGGAAACATGCTGTACACAGAGAGAAAACTGTTTTGGAGACATTAAAAGGGCACCATTCGATCTTGTATGGAGTGGGAGGGAAGGCCTCTGTGAATGTGGCAGGTCTTCAGTAAACAGAGATGGAACAATGGGCAGAGTGGAGTGTCTCACACTCGTAATTTGAGGGAAGCATACTGTGAATAGAAAGAAAAGTAAATGTGGAGACCCCTGGGTGGGAAAGGGGACCCACAGGGCCAGGAGTGGTCAGGAGGGAAACTGGAAGCTGGTGAGATGGAGTGGGAGCATGAGCAGACCTTTTTGATTTGACCAAGTAAAAAGTAAAGCAGAGGTGACAAGTTCTAGATTACTTTTGTTGCTGTTACTTTACTTTTTGTTTGCTGGCTTTTGTTTTCTGAGACACAGACTCTCTATGTAGCCCTGACTGTTCAGGAACTTGTTGTCTAGATCAGGCTGACCTTGTACTCACAGAGATCTGGGATTAAAGGTGTGCACCATCACCCGGCCTTGTTGCTGTTATTTTGAGAGAGGATCTTCCTATGGAACACAAACTCAAGGAAACCTTCCTGCCTCAGTCACCCACGTGCTGGCATGTAGAGGTTTGCACTACCATGCCCATCTCTAAACTACAAGTTTGAATGGAGAAGCAAAGAAAGAACATGAAAACCTAGTCCACACAAGAAAGCTGGTGGGCAAGCAACAGGTGGCCAGTCAGGCCTTTGCCCACCTCTCCTCTCACCAGCTGTATCCCATTCTTTTTTCCTCTCACCAGCTGTATCCCATTTTTGTTTGTTTGTTTATTTTGTTTTGTTTTGTTTTTTTGAGACAGAGTTGTGGCTGTCCTGGAACTTACTCTGTAGACCAGCCTGGCCTCAAATCCAGAGATCTGCCTCCCTCTGTGAGTGCTGGGACTAAAGGTGTGTGCCACCACCACCTGGCTTCCTATCCCATTTTAATACCTTGGTAAAGCTGGAAGAACTGCCTGTGGTTCTCCAAGAGCACCTGAGTTTTTCAAACCCAGAGCCCACGTGAATGACAGATAGACAGCCTTTGTGTTTTCAGAGAGAGGTCTGTGCCACACTGTGCAATTTCCAGCTAACTCTGAGCCACCCAATATGGTGCTTGTGGGCCGCATGGGCCCCAAATGCAGTGCTCTGAACTGAAGTGACTGTTAAATTAAGGCAGACCTAACTTCAAAACTTCTTATGAAAGAATGTAAAATATCACATTAGTAATGTTTTATAATGATTATATGCTGAAATGGCATTTTGTTAAATTACTAAAATTAAGTTAACTTGAAAAAGGAAATTGAAGAATTTATTTTATGATATCAAACTTATTAGAAAGCTAAGATAGTCAAAACAGAGTCACTGACATGAGAACAGACATGCAGACTGCTGAGCAGAGAGCTCCAAATAAACATTGCCATATAGGAATGGATGGCTTTTAAACAAACAGTGCTAGGAAACTGAGAGCATGCATCTGTGCACAAAAACAAACAAAAGAAGCCCGACAGTCCCCTTGTACTCCATACAAAGATTAGTTCAAATTGACCCAAGATTAAACAAGAGTCCAAACTATAAAATTGTTAGGCGAAGTCTTCGGAGGAAATCTCTACGATACTGGATTTGGCAATGCTTTCCCAAATGTGACATCAAAGGCACAAGCAACAAAAGAAAGAAGTCAGTTACACTCCGCATAAAAATCTAAACCGTTTGTTTAGAGGACATTTCTCAGAGAGTGAAAGAAAGAGCCCAGAGAATGGAGGAAGACATTTGTGACTCACACATACGGTAAAAGTCTAGCATTCAGACAGACAAAGAACTTCCACAAGGCAACAATAAAACAGAAGCCACAAAGCATGCCTAAGAGAGCGAGCTCAGCTGGCTAAGGTACTTGCCACCAAGCCTGACAACCTGCATTTGAAGAACAGACTCCCATCTGTGCTGTAGCAAGTGTGCCTCTGTCCCCTAAAAGTAATTGTAGAAACAAAATAAATAAAGGGGGAGCATGGGAAGCCAGTCAGTTCAAGTCTACAACCCAGTATTCAGCTGGAATATGAGTTCTAGGCCAACCTGTGTTACAGAAACAAGTTCAAAGCCAGTGTGAGACGCATAATGAGATCAGTCTCAAAAACAGGAGGGTGGGGGTTGGAGAAGTGGCTCAGCAGGTGCAAACACCTGACGCCAAGCCCAGAAGAAGGCTGAGCTTGATCTAGGATCAACGTGGTGGAAGTCCAGAATGAGCTCTCACAAGCTGTTCTCCCTCTTTGCCTCCCACCCTCCCCCCTCCTCTCACACACACAGAAGAGGGGGGGGCAAGGATTTTACAATTTAAAACAAGCATACAAAAAGGCAGGTGAGCACTAAGTATCAGTAAAAATGTAGAGAAACGGGAAGCTGTGTGCACTACCTTAGTTACTGTTCTATTGCTGCAAAGAAACACCACAACTAAGGTGATCCTTAGTTGGGATCCTTATCAAAGAAAGCATTTAACTGGTGTCTTGCTTACATTTTCAGAGGGCTAGTCCATGAGCATCATGGCAGCAAGCAAACAGGCATGGATGGCCCTGGAGCAGCAGCTGAGAGCGTTCCAGTCTGATCCTTATCCACAGGCAGCGGGCAGAGACTGTGTCTAGTGTGGGTTTTTGAAGGCCACACCTCCTCCAAATCCTTCTCAAACAGTTTCCCAGTTGGAGACCACACTTTTAAACATAGGAGCCTATGGGGTTTGTTCTCATTCAAGCCACCACAGCTGTTGATGGGAGACTAAGCCGGCACAGCAGCTGTGGAAACTGGTTTCTGTGTAGGTTGCAGTTTTTGTCTAAGAGGGAAAGAAGTTCCAGAAGTAGTGGTAATAGTGACACAACATGGACAATGACACTGAGTTTATGTTCAGAAATGGCAAGATTTGAGCTACATTTAGAAGCACACATCTCCAGGACTTTGGAGGTAGCAGGAGAATCACAAGTTCAAAGTCTGCCTGGACTACATGAGACCATCTCAAAAGATTTTAACACAAAACACAATTTCACCTGTTTTTTTTTTTTTCTGTTTATTTACTTATTCCATTCTACGTTTCTGGACAGAGGTTTTTGTGTAGCCTAGGCTGGCCCTGAACTCCTAATCTTGCTGCCTTCAACTCCTTAGCACTGAGATTACAGGCCTATACTATACCATCATGGCTGGCTTACCGCTTCGTATACTTTAAATGTAGCTAGCTGAACAAACATTGTTTGGCCACACAGCCTATCCAGAGACTAGCCCTGCCAACACAGGCTGTTCCTCTACTTTAAATGATTTTTCCAACATGAAAAAACAACTGAAGGATTATAAAGTGGCCCACTGTGTAAACAGAGTGGGCCTCACACAAATGACTATTGTTTCCTTTTCAACCTGGTCACTCTGAAGGTCATGTGCTTGGCCAGCAAAACAGCAGATTCTTGCATCAGTTCAACCTAGTCTAGAAGCCTTTCGAAGCCTGAACCACCCCCTCATTCACCGCCCTGCCCCCATCCTCAGAGCTGTCAGATCTTCCTCCTCCCAAGAAGGATCTGACTTCTGGAGAGAGCCCAGTGTTGTCTGGTTCCAATTATAGTGAATCAGGTGGGGCACGGTGCTCAAAGATACCATCTTTGGTCATGCACAAGGTGCGAGGCTCAGACTGCAGGCAGACTGCTTGGAGCAGCTCCTAAGCTGGCCCTGAAGTGAATTCCAAGGCAGCCCAGCATGGGTCCTGGAGGAACTGACAGGCTCTCCAGAACACCAGCCCTAGTGCCAAGGCTGAAGAAAGCTGGACTCCAGTGGTGCCTCCTAAACTTAGTACCCTTGACCATGCTTCATGCTCAAGGCTGTGAGAAGCCTACTGAGCGTGTGACACTCAGACTATCCATTATTGTGAGGATCTGGGGTACTGTGATACTGTGATTGACAGGGCTAGGCGGCAGAAAGCTGGAGGCCCACAGAGCATGACTATGGACATCTAGTACACTGTGGATGATCTCTTGACTTCTTGGAGAGCTGATGTCATTATGAGCCATCAACACATGTCCAAAGCGGTAATGTATTTGGATTTTTTTTTTTCTTTCATGGCCACTAGGCCAACATATAACAAGAGTCATAAAACTGATGATATCCTTTGTCTGAATAGCTTACTTCCTAGAATTTAGATTAAGGAAACAATTAAAAAGAAAAGGCCTCCAGGTACAAAAGCAGTCTTGGCAGGACCATTCCTGACCTGGAAGGCAGGAAGCAACATCAGTGTCCAGCAGGAAGGGAGCTGGTGATGGAGCATGTACACGGTGGGGCCACTCTGAAAGGACCCCATGCCAGGCACATAAACACTGTGATCAAGCCAGGGGAGGTTTGGCACTGTACTACTGAGAAAAAGAAACAACCGTATCAACAGAGTGCTGCAACCTTGTATAAACGAATTTCACTGGCTAAAGACCAAAGGCAGACACTTCCAAAGTATCGCTGTGGACAGATGCCATTCTGGTGTGTCATGGAGCTTCCACGCTGGTGAGTACTCACAGACACGTACAGTGGAATGTCAGGGCTGAAAACTGGAAAACCCAAAGGAGGGGGAATGGCATGTCATTTTATGTAGCGTGGTCAGAGAGGAGCTGAGAAAGTAACATTTCTGCCAACTGGAGAAAGCAAAGAGCTGGGAATGTAGTCAGTGATATATGTCAGCCCCTGGACTCAGTCCCCAGTACACATGTGCCCACCAAAAACAAAAGCAAAGAGTGGCAATTTTTTTTAAAGGATTCTTTTTTTTCTTTCAAAGATTTATTTATTATGCATACAGTGTTCTGTATGCCTGCAGGCCAGAAAAAGTTACCAGATCTCATTACAGATGGTTGTGAGCCACCATGTGGTTGCTGGGAATTGAACTCAGGACCTCTTCGAGGGCAGCCAGTGCTCTTAACCTCTGAGCCATCTCCCCAGCCCCGAAGAGTGGCATTTAACTACCTACTAGAATATTCCAGAACAAAGGACTAGTCAGAGCAAAGTTCCCAAGACAGGAATGTGCTCCAAGGTGAATGAGAGAGCGAGTGAGCCAGGCAGGGCCATGTGGACCATTAAAAGGGCTTTGGCTCTCACTCTGAGTGGAAGTAAAGCCATTATAAGGTGCTTGGCAAAGAAATTACACACTGCCTCTGACTGCTGCATAGAAACCAGACTAGGGAACAAGAGTGGAACAATTAAAAGAATACTAGCATGCTCACCCGTAATGCTCATGAGAAGGCAGGAGCCAGTGAGGTGATAATTCTGAAGTTATACCATACTCTGAAGAATGAAAAAATAGCACTGATGGGCAGGTTATAAATGAAGTTCAAGTACTTGGAGGGGAAACTGCTCAGCTTAATACTGTAAACAGAAAAATGTTAAGCACTGAAGGTCAAAACTCATTAAAAAAATGGGCTGGAGAGATGGCTCAGAGTTAAGAGCACTGACTCCTCTTCCAGGGGTCCTGAGTTCAATTCCCAACAACCACATGGTGGCTCACAACCATCTACAATGAGACCTGGTGCCCTCTTCTGGCATGTAGGCAGAACACTGTATATGTAATAAACAAATATTTAAAAAAAAGAAGTCTTTAAAAAAATCATTAAAAACAAGAAGTCCCATCACAAAGAATAACCTTTAATGCACACAAACGGATTTAAATGTCATCCAAGATGGAATACAGGCGCCATTCTGAATCTGACTGTATCTTAAACATGCTGAAGAGGTGGTGAGGATGAGGTCCTAAAATGAGTGGCTCTGAAAATGACGTGGCATCTCTAAAACTAAAGGCCAAAGGAGCATGTATGCACCTCAAACTAGCTGCCAAAAGCTGCTTCCCAGGCTGGGCATGGTGGTGCACACTTTAATCTCAGTACTGGAGAGGCAGAGGCAGGCTGATCTCTGAGCTTGAAGCCAGTCCGGTCTATAGAGCTAGTTCCAGGAGAGCCAGGGCTACACAGAGAAACTCTGTATCAAAAACCAAAAGCAAACAAACACAGCTGTTTCCCACAGGTCCAGTTGTGAAGTCACGGCACACAAGTCAGGACTCATTAGAAGTGAATAGATGGGGAATGTCTTAGTTAGGGTTACAATTGTTGTGAAGAGACACCATGACCACAGCAACTCTTAGAAGGACAACATTTAACTGCGGTGGCTTGCTTATCGCTTCAGAGGTTCAATCCATTATCATCATGATTGGACATGGTGGTGTGCAGGCGGTCCTGGTACTGACGAGGTAGCTGAGAGTTCTACATCTTTTTTTTTTTTTTTTGAGTCCTATATATTATAGGCAACAGGAAGTTGACTGATACAGTGGGTGGCATCATGAGTGTAAGAAACTTCAAAGCCCACCCCCACAGTGACACACTTCCTCCAAGACCATACCCACCCCCAACAAAGCCACACCTCCTAATAGTGCCACTCCCTATGAGATTATTGGTGCCATTTACATCAAACTATCACAGGGAAGCTGTGTTTGCTGCAATGGGGAGAAGGTTCCAGATAAGAGAAGGAAGCTACAATCATCCATAGGGCAATAAAGGAGGACTAGAGACATCAGCATAGTGTACTTGGCTTAATACAGACATATACAGAAATACTTATAGCCATGTATACACATACATATCATATTCTAGCCACTGAGAGAATAGAGAAACAAGCATGCCCCAGGAGCAATGAAAGAAACCAGGACTCCTTAAGGAAGTGGGTAACTTCCAAATAGGAAAAAACAGGATAAGCCTGGGGCGGAAAAAATGTAAGTGCCTTAAAAAAAACAAACAAAAAAAGCACACCAAATATTGTCAGGGAGTGGTCAAGAGTGTGGATTCAACAGCCAAAGCTGGCACACAAGAACAAGAAACCTAAGGTAAAAAATAAATACTGATACAAAGAGACAACTGGCTGGGTCAATGGCAGAGAACAGACACGTCTTTGGTATGAACTGCAAGTGTTTATGTAGCCACTCTGCCTGTGTGTGTAGCATATGCTTCCACAATCCCAATGTGCATGTACACACATAATGACTTTCTTCTAAAAGTACAGTGTTGAAGCAGGTGACCACTCCCTGGAGCCAAGAGACCCTGAACAACATGAACAGCGACAAGCACACCCACAGCAGGCTCCTCTGAGGGCCTTCCTTCTCGAAGCCTGGGACTCAGGCTGCTCACAAGAAACAGACACATCTTAACCAGGAGGTTCTGCTGCTGAATAACTGATCAGTAATCCTCAAAACCATCAGGGTCATCTAAAACAGGGACATTCTGAGACACTGTCACAGCCAGTAAGGGAGCCTCTGGAGACAGGCTGGCTGGATGTACTGTGCTATTCTGGATAGGATACAGAGGCAGGGCTTTAGGAAGAAACTGGAAATCTGAACAAAGTAGGGATTCCAGTTAATGGTGAGGTGCTAACACTGGCTAATTAATTATGGCAAATGTTCTATCTGGAAACTCAATAGTGTCTCAAAATAGCTATAAACCTAAAATTGGGGGAGGTGGTTAAAGATTTATTTAGTTTTGCATATGAGTGCTCTATTTGCATGTATGCCTGGATGACAGAAGAAGGCATCAGATCTCATAATAAATGGTTGCGAGCCACCATGTTGGCGCTGAGAACTGAACTCAGGACCTCTGGAAGGGAGTCCGTGTTTTAACCTCTGAGTCAGCTCTCCAGCCGCCCCCTCTTTGTTTTTAAATGCTTTTTGAGCCCGTCTCATGTATCCTAGGCTGGCCTTGAACTCATTAAGTATCAAAGGTGACCCTGAACCTCTGGCCCCCTCACTCTCCCTTCCCAGCACTGGCAACACAGGTGTGACCCATCAGTTGTCATTTATGCGATGCTGAGGACTGAACCCAAACAGGCCATCATGCATGCTGGGCAGGCAACTTCATCTGCACTGCATCCCCAGCCCCTAAAATACTTTTAAACCACCAACATTTCAAAATAAAAGGCTACAGGCACATGGAGATATCGAAGGACTTATCAAATACCAACTCTGAAAACATAGATTCCAAAACTGCTAGAGGTTTCAGCATCTCCCAACTGTTCCCCAATACCGTATATACTCTGGGCAGGGATTCCTGCCTCCTAATAGGGCGTTTTCCAAACTGTTCTGAGAATTCAACTAAAAAGAGGCAGGAGGGTAGAAAAGCATCAGCAGATACTTCCATATAGCAATCGTGACAAATTCCTAAGAATTGCTCAAAATTGGGTAAGAAGAAGAACCATTTAAACCAAAGTTATGGTGGGAATGGCTGGGTGTCAGGAGCAGAGGGTAATGGTGGTTGGGAATCTGTGACAGCTCAGGACTTTTTTCTTTTATTTTCTTTTGTGGTTTTGGAGACACAGTTTCTCTATGTATCCCTGGCTGTCCTGGAACTAGCTCTGTAGACCAGGATTTCTTCTAACTCTGAGATCCACTCTGCCTCTGCCTCCTAAATACTGGGATTAAAGGCTTGTGCCACCACTATCCAGCTTTTTTTTTTTTTTTTAATGAACACTGTAACCACCATAGCTGGAAAAGGTGATATTCTGTTTGTTTGTTTGTTTGTGACAGAGTCTCACTATGCAGCCTGGCTACCCTGGATGGAGTTTGCCATGTAGACCTCCGTGGCCTTGAATTTACAGAGCTCTACCTGACTCTGCTTCCCCAGTATTATTAGGATTAAGGACATGAGCTGACACACCTGGTGAAAGGGAGGACATATTCCCTTAGGGATCTCATGCTGGGGAAAGAGAAAGGATGAAGCCCTGGTGCCAGTCAAAAGAGAAACTTGTCCAGTAAGAGATTTCACAGTTTTTACAAAGTATCAGACCACCTTGCAGGACAGGCTGGGGCAAGGACAATGGTGGGCCAGTGACAGAAGGGATGATATCCTGACCAGGACTGCTTAGCTATGCATATGTCTACCCCTCTATTTAAACCTAAACCTCACATCAGTATTCCAGGAAGGGACTTGGAAGTCAAAGGATCCTTTTATTTGTTCCTTTTCCCATTGTGGGCACACTGAATAATCTCCACTTCCTGCTATTCAGTGTCAGTTATCTCATAAATTGAAATATTGGGAACCAGTGGCCAAATCTACCTTGTTGGCCCTGACAGAGCCTGGACTTTGACCTTAAAAACTCCAGTTAATAAAAACCTTTCAAAAAGACATTGCAAATGCCAGATATGGTAACATGCCTTTTGTCTCAACACTAGGGAGGCAAGCAGATCTCTGTGAGTTCGAAACTAGTCTGGTCTACATAGTGAGTTCTGGGCCAGCCAGAACTACACAATGAAACCCTGTTAAAAAAAAAAAAAGCCTAATATTTTTTAACGGCATATCAATCTGAAGTTGTCTGTTAATTCATCAATAATGTTTGCAGTCCTAAAGTAATCCTATGGATGCCTTTAATGTTTTGTTCCATCCAAGGACCATAATCCATAATCCTATTTGGGGCATGTAGAGTTTGAAACGCATTGGCAATATTTGATAATGACCACATTGCTAGCTCTGCTTCACCGTCATCTTCCATCACAGAAAAGTAATGCCTTCCAATTCCTCACTTGTTGGCACTTGGCAGTGGCATTCAGTGTGTTCTTCTGCTTCTGGTGGGTATGTGGCTGAGGCTTCACTGGTACCTACAGCTTCTATGCAGAGCTTTTCAGAACAAATCGTTTCTAACCCTGTGTAACCAAGCCTTACTCCCAGGAAGTGGCTTTGTGTTCTTGTTTCAGAGAATCTCTGACTGAAGCCTTCACACAGGCATAAAGGTCTGACATGCAACATTCTTTTCTTTTCAGAAATACTTTTTTTTTAAAAAAAAAATGTACACTGGTGTTTTGTTTGTATGTATATCTGTATGAGGGTGTCAGGTATCCTAGAACTGGAATTACAGACAGTTGTGAGCTGCCATGTGGGTGCTGGGTCCTCTGGAAGAACAATCAGTGCTCTTAACTGAGAGCCATTCTTGTTCATGTCTTTAACTTACAAATGTAATGGCCTTTCTACCCTAAGTAAACACTTTCTAGGCACTGTGGCTTTAACCTGGGCAACATGAGGTACAAAAGCAAAACTACCACTTATTTATTTAGATTTCAGAAAAGTTCTCATGTAGCCCTCATGCTTGCTATGCAGCCAAGAACGGGAGTGCGGGAGTACTGTACCACACACATCTTATGGTGGGTGCTAAGGATAAAGCCCACAGCTTCCTGCATGCTGGGTAAGCACTCTCCCAACTAAGCTACACACCAGCCCTGATTTTTAATTTTGTAAAGACTTATTTTTAACTATGAGTAGTTGCTTGAGTTTGCCTGTATTGTGCACATGCCCAGAAGCCCAGAAGCCCGGGACACTATGGAGCTGGCTGGGTGCTGCCTGGTATGAACGCTGGAAACTGAAATTGGGCTCCCTGGGAGAGCTACAAGTGCTCTTCACCACTGGGCCCTCTCTCCAACCCTAATTTGTTTTTACACAGGTCTGGCAATTGGGCCCAGGCTGACTTCAAACTCACTATCTTTCTACCTCATGTCTCAAATGCCGGGAGTACAGGGGTGCAGCACCATAGTCGGCACAAATTTTTCTCCTTCATAATTTCACAGATAAAAGATTTGTTTTTGTAGGACAGTGGTGGTGCACACCTTTAACGCCAGCACTCAGGATGCAGAGGAAGGCCGATCTCTTAGTTTTGAGACCAGCCTCATCTACAGAGTGAGTTCCAGAACAGCCAGTGCTACAAGGAAACCCTGTCTCAAAAACAACAACAAAAAACCCAAAACAACAACAAAATATTTGCTCTTACCAAAGTTTTTAGAAACTTTAGCCTATGGGCTTATTTTATTTCAAGAACTTTTTTACCTAACGGTAGCACTTTTTTGCTTTGCTTTGGCAAAACCCAAAGACTAGCATTACTACCCTTGTGCTGATTACAGAGGGTTACTTGAACACAGTCAGCTGTTCTGAGCGACTAATGAGTGGGTAGCATACATAGCAGGGATCCGCTGAGCAAGATGATGTATATGAGGAGCAGGAAGGGGGGAAACTTCACCATGATACTCTTTCTTGGGGGGGCCGGGCAGAGCAGTGCTGGGGACTGAACATGGGACCCCAGCACGCTGGGTAAGCACTCTACCACTGGGTTCTTCAAGACGCTATTCAAAAACACACACTTTTAAAGCCACGAGCTGTTTGTTTTCTGGAGTCTTCCGCTTACTATTTTCAGGTTAACTGAAACCGCAAATAAGTGGGAGGCCACTGCATCGTCTTCCCTTTCTCTTAGAGTTTTCTCTCAAGTATATAACTGTGCACCTTGAGCACCTTCCCATTTACGGTCTCTTCGTCCTCTGCACAGGTTTATGCGCCCCTTTGCGGAGGAGGAAACTGAGAAAGGAAAATGCCAGATGCCGAGGTTACACAGCAATCAATACAGGGCACCCCGAGATGCATGCCCGGGCTCCAACTGGCCTTGAAGAACCCGAGCTCGGGCTCAAGCGAGGGCCCCGTCCCCTCGGTTCGCAGCCTGCCCACCGCAAGTAACTTTCCTCCGCAGCCGGGGGAAGCCGCTGCAGCCCGAGCTCCGCCCCGCTCCCGCCCGCGGGTGAGCCCCGCCGAACCACCGGCCCCTGAATACTTACCTCCAGTGCCGCCGATCCGCTGCACCGGAAGTGTTTCCTCGCGACCCGGAAGCGATGCGCCCAAAGCGTCCGCAGGTTCCGCTCTGCCGCCTTTACTGGGGATAGGGCTTCCTCGGCCTCCTCTGCTCGCTCTTCCGCAAATGCACACTGAAGGGTGAAGCCTTAATGAATTTTTGTTTGACTTGAGACGGCCTCACATTGTAGCCCTGACTGGCCTCGAACTTGAAGCAGTCCTCCTGCCTGATTACAGTCTCCACACTGTTTAGAACTTGGTTCTAAGTCTGAGCTGGAAACCCACAGTCTAAGAGGGAGGACACACAGATTCGCGTGTCATAATTCAGACGAAAAAAGTCACTATAATATATTAAAACGCAGCCAGAGGATGAAATCACATAATGGATATGGAATCCATAAAGCGCTAAGTGTTTGGAAGGCAAATGACAGAGTATTGGATTAAGTGAGACAGTCAGTTCAGTGGGCGAAAGGGGGCCGAGTTTAGGCCGAGGGTGGTAGCCAGCCTCCACAGGGGGCAGTGATGTTATTGGTGCCTGACAGTCATGCCTTTTATAGTCTCCTCCTATGCTAAATGGGGCTGAGGACCGTGACCCATGGGTATTGGAAAAATACAGAGCTTGCGTTCCAAGATTAAGTCAGAAAAACACTGCCACTTCCTCTTTGCTCCCTTGATCACTCCTGGGAAGTCCCACATCGTGAGGGTCACATGGGCAGTTACCAAGCCTCCTGTCAACAGCTAACTCAGCATGGCAGCCAAACGGATAAACTATCTCCAGTCCCAGAACAGCGGACCCCTGAATCTTTTATTTGTGTGTTGGTGTGGGTGGGTGGGTGGGTATGGGTGTGGTGTATGCACACGTGTGCACGCACCTATGCAGGCTGACACCAGAGGAGTGTACCAGGTGTCCAGCTCTGTCACATTACACCTCATTCCTTGGAGACAGGGAAGCCCTGTTAATACTCCTCCTACTCTGCCTTGGCACTGAGCTAAAGGTGCATGGATGGCCACACCTGGCTTTGTACTTGATTCAAACTCAGATCTTCATGCTTGCTCATCAAGTACCCACTGAGCCATCCGCAGCCCCCAAATCAGTTGTGTGTCTGGACTTCTGTCCTCTTTTTTCTTTTCCAGCACTGAAGATGAAACTTCAAACTTGCTGCTCCAGACTCCTGCTGCTGTGACTTCCTCCTAAAGACAAACTTTAATCTTCAACTAGGAGCCAAAACAAACTTCCTAAACTGCTTTTGTCAAAGTATTTTATCACAGCGATAAGCAAGTAACTAAGGGCTGGAGAGATGGCTCAGTGATTAAGAACACTTGCGACACTTGCAGAGGATTTGGGTTCAGTTTCCAGCACCCACATGGTAGCACAAAATCTTCTATAAGGCCAATTCCAGGGGATCAAAAGCTTTCTTCTGGCCTGTGTAGACAATGCCGTGTGTGTGTGTGTGTGTGTGTGTGTGTGTGTGTGTGTTGCTAGATCTTGCCAGCTACTAGTAACAAGCAAAGCCCCAGCCTGACTACATGATGAGACAATGCCGTGTGTGTGTGTGTGTGTGTGTGTGTGTGTGTGTGTGTGTGTGTGTGTGTGTGTGTAAAGAAAAGTAGCTAATACAGAGATGGAGCAGAGGTCTGAAGGGAACAAATATTTAATACAGGATCTGCCTTAAAGGGGTCAGTATGAAGCCTGGGTAAGGGCAGTGATTTCGTTTGGGGGATGTTTGTTTTTGAGACAGGGTCTCACTATGTCACCCTAGCTGGATCAGAACTTGCTACATAGATCAAGTTGGCTTGGAACTCACAGAGATCTGTCTGCCTCAGACTCCCTAGTGCTGGGATTAAAGGTGTAAGCCATCATGCCCAGCAAGGAAGATGTTTGATAACTTGAGTTATATATCCTCCACCTGAAGATATATTGGAACCAGCCTTCACTACAGAATGTGGTTTTATTTGGAGACAGGATCCGTTTTTGGGTGGTGGTGGTACAGAAACTTTATCGATGGTAATCAAGACAGTTTGGCTCCCTAAGCCCCTCCTTCCAAGGGTCTGGGATGGAAACCGTGAGGGGAAGACACTCAGTATCATGGGGCCAGTTGGGAAAGGGACTCCTCAGCCAGTGAGGACCTCTCCCTCTCATGTTCTTGTTGGGGTCCAGAGTTTCTTAAGGAAGTCATGGAGGCCATGATCCACCACCCTGTTGCTGTATTCGTTGTCATACCAGAAAGTGATTTTTACCAAGTTGTGGAGACAGGATCTTTATAAAAGCAAATCATCTGGACATGGTGAGTCACACCTGCAATCTCAGCACCTGGGAGCCTGAGGCAGGAAGATTGCCATGTATCTGAGGCAAGCTTGAAAAATATAGTGAGCCCCAGCCTGGGCTACATGATGAGACAATGTGTTTAAAAAAAAAAAAAAAAAAAAAAGAACTGGGTGTTGTGGCATACACCGTTAGTCCCAGCATTGGGGAGGTAGAGGCAGGAGGATCTCTATAAGTTCCAAGTCAGCCTGGTCTAAATAGCAAGTTCCAGGATAGCCAGGGCTAAATAAAGAGAACTTATCTCAAACAAAAAAAGAGGGCCAAGGAGATAGCTTATTCTGTCAAGGTGCTTCTGCACCTGTCTGGTAACCTGAGTTCAATCCCTGGAAGCCACCTAAAAGTAGGAGAGAACCTACTCCATAAAGTTGTCCTGACCTCCACATGTGTGCCATAGCATGTATCACATCATTCACTCACATACATGCACACACACAATAATAAATATATATTCTTAGTAATTTATTTTACTGTTTTTTTATGGGCATTGTTGTTTTGCCTGCATGAATGGCTGTGCAAGGATGCTGAGACCCCTGGAAGTGGAGTTGCAGACAGCTGTCAGATGCCATGTGAGTACTAGGAATTGAACCTGGGTCCTCTGGAAGAGCAGATGGTGCTCTGAACTGCTTAACATCTTTCCAGCCCAATAATAAATATTTTTAAGAGAAAAATGAGTGCTGGGCAATGGTGGCACATGCCTTTAGTCCCAGCACTCAGGAGGCAGAGGCAGGCAAATTTCTGAGTTTGAGGCCACCTGGTCTACAAAGTGAGTTTCAGGACAACTATGGCTGCTACACAGAGAAATCCTGTCTCAAAAAACTGAGGGGGGAGGGGAGCTCAACTGGATAAATGTTAAAATCTAATCTAAAATATCTGGTATAAAAAGAAGGGGTTTGGACCCAGATACACACATGAGGATGTCATGTGAAGGTGAAGGCAAACACAGATTCTCCTATAGGTCAGGAAACAACAAAAATCCCCCAATCAGGCGCCGGGAGCTGAGACAGTCATAGAATAAATTTCTCAAGCCTTCAGAACTGCCACCAGACTACTTGGTTTCAGACTCCTGGCTAATAAAATAAATGTCTGTTGCTCAAGCCACCTAGTGTGTGACATGTGTTTTGACAGCCTAGCACTAGCAATGCTAATAATATAGGTATACAGTGCTTTGAAAACTGTTACTACCTGTCTCCAAATGTAAAAAAATCACCAGTGTGGCTGCTGCTGGCACAGTTACTTCCTTACTTTCTGGAAGTGCCTAGAGGACTCCCGCTGAGTTTAGCTTTGCCTATACCCTGCAAGTCTCCATTAGCACACAGCACAGCTCTGTGGCAGGTTTGTCTCTAACCATGTTTGTGATGTCTAACATGGTTCAACACGGGACAGGGTAAGCATTGCACTCATTTAGCTCCTCCATGCTCTCCCTTCATAATGGACTAAAACTTGGAAACCATGAGCAAAATAAATCCTTCCTCCCTTTAAGTTATTCTAGTCAGGTATTCTGTCATGATGATGAAAAAAGGAATCTCAGGGCCAGTGAGATGGTTCAGCAGGTAAAGGCACATTCCACATAAGCCTGGTGACAGGATTTCCATCTGTGGAATGAATCCACAGTTGAACCAACTCAAAAAACAAAAGTTGACCTCTGACTTTAAATGCACACACTATATTAAAAGTAACTAATGCGTTGGATACAGGGAAAGGAAAACAGAGGCGTGTAGAAGGGCATGTTTTCCAAATGCCAGTCTTTACCATTGTTGGCTCCCACATCTGGGCTGGGGGCAGTATAGAAAGTTAGCTCAGATTAAGGGGATAGCAGGAAAGAAAAGGGTCTCCTCACCCTGGAGTCTTGCCAACTACATCAAGAATTTCAGTACAAGTATCAAAAATTGCTGTGAAAAGTTGCCTACATAGAATTCCTTTTATACAGCAATATTTCAAATAATGTTAAATTAGCAATGACCCATACTAAAAGCTTGAGTGTATATGACCAAATGTGGCCTTTCTCCTTTTCCACTTGAAAGCCTACAATGTTCTAGATATCTCATAAACAAAACTATAAACTCTATTTACAGAAAAAAAAAATCAAGCTGGGTGGTGCTGCACACCTTTAATCCCAGCACTCAGGAGGCAGAGGCAGGCAGATCTTTGAGTTCAAGGCTTGACTGGTCTACAGAATGAGTTCCAGAACAGCCAGGGCTTCACAGAGAAACCCTGTCTCAAAAAATCAAAAAAAAATATCAATCAATCATTCAAATAAAAACAAAAATGACTTAACCCCCTTGTAGTAAACTCTGTGGCCCATGGTTTTACTTTATTAGCTTGTAATCCTTTCCAAGGAAGCCTAGGAAGCATTCTATGATCTCAGTTATCAAGAATGAGGGAAATGGATAAAAAACAGACTTTAGAGACCTTTTGAATAATGTAATTTTGAATAATGTAATTTCAGAAGCCATTAAAATAACGTACATGGCACTGCTGAGACACGGGAGCCCATACCGACACTTGTGTGTACACTTTCTCCAGCCCCTCTGTATTAATCCCTGTGCTTAGATCTATGTTAAAACCTCTTCCTAATAAACTCCAACTTGGCCTCACACAGGCTTATACTGAAATTCTTTTCTGCAGGGATATTAAGAACCCCAGTTTCACCTGAGTGGAGACCTCTTCGAAGCACTCCTCAGGCTGGTGCAGGTGGCTGTGTGGAGCTACCTCTGGTGAGACTCCACTGCTGAAGACAGGATGCTCTCTGTCTCTCTCTCTCTCTCTCTCTCTCTCTCTCTCTCTTTCTCTCTCCAGGCGCATTCATTCTCATCTTTCAGGACTGAGGCCAATATCAACGCATCTGAAAAGGCCTCCCTGATTGTCCCCCCCGTAGCTGACTGTGCTTCCTAAAGATGGCTACAGCAATGTCTCCAAGTGTCTCCTGTTTTAAACAGTGGACTCTGTTCACAAGAGATACCATGTGAAAATCAGGCGTAGCGCTTACCTGTCCTGAAAGTCTACTACCACGTAAAAAGTGTGCCTACCTATCCTGAGGGCACCCAGTTGCCAGCATCTGGCATCAGCCTGGGCAGTGAAGAAACCATCCATGGGGTGAAGAGAT